AAATAGGAAACTGCTAACAATGATGAAATCAAGTTTCTGCGTGTTCAGATCAAACAAAAGTTAGTGTTTACGCGGTTAACAACTTGTCCAAATTCTTTAAAATTCAAGATCAGATTCCTCTCAGAAGCTTTTTTTTTCGGTGACTAGTTCCTATTCTTGAATAGCAATGGTTGTTCCTATTCTTGAATAGCAATGGTTGAATAGGTTATAAGGTTAACCTAACATATCAGGGAAGGCAGATTGTTCGCACTTCAGAGATCGCCCTGAGGGCTGAACGAGCCAAAGATTTCTCTAGAAAACCCCAAATTCTTAGGCCATCATTCTCTTGACAACACAAACAGACAAATGTCAAAATGATTTTCTGAATATCCTAATTATCTGTCAATTTCATCGTCGGCATTGACTTAATTGTTAAATTTTCTGTGATTATCAACACCTGTTTCTTCAAAAGACGTAGAAATTATTAAGCATCGGTTGATTGTTTGAGCATCTTATGTCGCCTTGTGAGGGGCGATTACCAAAAACCGGAAACTAACAATCTTTGTTCCGCCAAAATTGGACAAGTCCAAACATCGAGTTGCAAACTTCAATGAATGTCACTGTGCCGAGAATTTACGTAGAGCCACAGAACAGTAGTAAATTACTAGTATTAACAATAATTTTCACTGCTTATTGCAGGGTTGTGGGGAATCTATGCTGCTTCCAGTTTTTCTCATGCAGAATTCACTCTCGCATATTAATATAGTACATTTGACCCAAAATTATTCCACCATGCGTACGGCCAGTTTATCCACCTCTTTTACTGGTCAGATGTTCTTTGAATTGTATGCCTACCCGAGCCGATGAATATAAACTAGGCTTTAACGCTTTTGAGCTAGCTTTATGAAGTCTTAGTCACGTTAGAAACCAAAAAGCATTCATAAATGGATTGATATGTTTCCAAATCAATCTTTAGTTATTTTTTAATGTACAAAATAAAAAAATGTTACAAAACAACCGCTTCAACTATGTATTTAAAAGAGAAGTCTAAGTCTTTAGGACAGTGCTACGAAAATATCGAAACTAGAGATCCAATTAAAAAAACGAACTCACGATCGAGTGAATCCGATTTCCGCCTCGTCTCATCTTCAACCAAAGATGTCAGCTCAAACATTTTTTCTTCGCCCAAGTTACATTTCTCGTCCGCCGGGCCATCATCGGTACTAACCAATCTCACCATCTTTCCCAAGATGGAGACTCTTAACGGGGTTAAGCGAAAATGACACAAAATCGTCGAGTTTAAAATCACACACTTCTTCCGAGACCTAATTCTCCCCGTCGAAGATCCCGAGATGACAGGACTATCACTACTTGTGTGAGCGCCAATATTCTTCTGATTAGA